CCAGCCTCTCTGCATCCTGCTCGGAGTCAGAACCCTGTCCAGGGTTCTCCACATCCTCCAGAGCCGACTCATAGGGCCCCTTGCTGTCGGAGTCTGGTGGCAGCTCCAACAGCTCCTGCTGGGCCACAACAGTCTGCTCATGTAAGAGTACATTTTTCAATCTGCTTTTTTTACCACCAAAATAAAGAAGCAGTCACTGTCCATATCTCCTCACATTAACACACTAATAGGACAGCAGAATTCTGAGGGGACCCATGTGAGAAGAAAAGTGTCAAATAATCCTTTCCTTGCCACTACTTTCAAACCATGTCATTTAAAAAAATGTCCTGCATGAAGTCTAATATAATTCTGATAACAAACAAGGTAATCAATAATCCTGTTAAACCACTAAAAGGCATGAAATGATTAACACAATGAAAGAATATTGCAAATACCTAAAATCTACTGTAATTTCTTTACTTCAAAATATATAAGGGGAACACATTCATTGTAGCTTCAGCTCCTACCTGGCTATTAATATCAGCAGTATGCTGGAGAAGCACTGTAGCAAGTTCTTTGTGTCCTCTATCACATGCCCAATGCAGCAAAGCTCTACCCTAAAATAACAAAGAAAAAAAAAGTTAGTTAAAGTTTGGTAGCACATCATGTATCAACATTATACCAATTACATTCACGCTAACAGCACCACTTTTTCTTACTGAAATGTCTGTATAAATCAGAAATGTATTACCAACCATTATCAGCCTGAAATGACCTTTTGAAAGTTACAAGCAGCACCAAAAAGCAATGGCCATCACATTTATCCTATTCAACAAAGTGAATTAGTAGGGGGTTTGAAAATTAGCAAATTTGGAAGAAAAATGTTATATCGTACCAGTAGTTGATATATCTATTTGCAATTTTGATTATTTCACTTTGTTTCCTTTCTTCCAAACTAAGATGAAAAGAGGTGGGTAAAATGAGGACCCAGATTGTTGTTGGGGGCGACATGCTGACTCTGTAAACCGCTTAGAGAGGGCTGAAAGCCCTATGAAGCAGTATATAAGTCTAACTGCTATTGCTATTGCTATAAGAAAGCGAATCTGTATCTTTATAACCTTTAAGAATTTAAAATAAACAGCAAAAACAAGACAAGGTGTTGGCTTTAGAAAATTTTAAATGAATTAAAGGCTGAGAAATATGTTGAAATATGGGATTTTGAATATGAAGATCTTGAAATTAATTCTAAAGAATAAATGCATTTTCATGAAAAAGAAAAAAAATATTTTCATTATTGGAAGATAACTATAATGTTGTTCAGAGATATTTTTGAGGAATTATATCACAATCTTGAATCAACAATGCCAGTTATGTTGTATGCTCTTATGAACTCTCTGTTCCAAGAAGAAACTTACTTCACTTAAGTGTGGAGAACAATGTAAGAATTTCCTAATAGATAAAATAAAATTAAGTTTTAAAAATTAAGAAGGAAATAAAGATGCCACTCCCAGAGGTCAATTGGAATAATTTATTCTTACCGGACTTACAAAAAAAGTTTGTTAAAGTTTTGAATGAAATCAAGACAAGGGCCACTGATTATTTGAATAGATTGAAGAATAAAATTATGTTCCACAAAAAGAAAGAACACAAAGTTGGCTTAGTATGGGTAGTTCTTTCTAGAATTGTTGACATCTGGACTGGAAAAATATTGCATGTTGGATTTGCTTGTACCTAAGAGTTAATATATAGCACAATGACTTTTATATTTTTAAGTAATATTATTATTTTAGGGATCTATTGGATTTTTTTGCTTGAGATCTGAATTGGAAAAATAATACTGCTTATTGGACTTGCCTACAGTTAAGAATCAAGTTAGGAGATTGTTGTGCCCCAGCAGGAGCCGTTGGAGCTGCAAACAGACTCCGCCAGTGAGGGGCCTTATGAGTCGGCTCTGGAAGAGATGGAGGACCCTGGATAGGGTTCCGACTCCAAGCAGGGCACAGAGAGGCTGGTTGCCCACCAGGAGGCGCCTGAGGCATGAAGCAACGGTGAGAGCCAAAGGGAGTGTGCTCCTGACGTCATGCCTTGGAGTAGTGACGAGGAGACAAGGGAGGTGGTCCTGGATGCCCGGCAATGCCGGGCAGATCGACGGAGAGAACAGCTACGCAGTTACAAAAGATAATTGGACCCAGGTGGTTGTAATTAGACTCCTCTCAGGATTGTATTTAAGGAGAGACTCTGGGAGGAGTCTGGTTTACAGGATTCAACTTCACTCTTAACACTGGAGAAGCTGTTATCTGGCTCTGTCGAAGTCTGAGTTGCTGCCAAGGTTCTTATCTGTTTATTATGCTTGGGCTTTCAGCCAC